ATGAAACACTTGATCTTAGAGGTCAATAACATTAGTAATTGAAGAGTGCATTCCTCCTTCTAAGTGGGTTTTGAACCCCCATGTCGAAAAGTTCAAAAAAATATTATCGGATGAGACGCCACATCTACTCTCACTCACACACGGACACAGGAAGCCGCGGGACGCATCAAAACTAGAACCGGCGAACGTATAACAGCAGCCACCGATGATGGCAGCACTCTCAATTGGCTCAATTGGCGTAGCCACCGCCGCCGCTGGCATCACCACTGTCCGTACAAAGTCAAAACCGACCAATTTCAGGCCCAAAATCTCTTGTATCGGATGGGTATGAACTACGAAACTTAAAACTATATTCTGAAAGAATTCAATCACTTTCTCACACATTGGCTTCTTTCCAGTAGCGTCTACTGGATAAGGGATACGGGATTCCAAATTTCCAACCGCTTTTATTTTTCTTCTTCCTTTTTTACCTTTTGGCTTCTTTAATTTTTTATATTTTTAAAATTTAAATAAAAAAAGAAAAAAGTTGTAACGTCTTTACTATGTATTTTAAATGTCAAATTCCTTATAAAATTATTCAATCTTTTATTTCCTTCAACCTCTCTTTAAATTAAATTTATCTTTTTATAGGCAGATTTAGGGGCTTGGGTGTTAGGCCGGCCAGCGGAATAAATTGGGCTTGGGCATTTAATTTTCTTTTGATGAACAATAATGATTACTGATAAATATTTTTCAAACTAAGCCCAAATATTTTGCCGGAAAATAAATTAACAGATGCAGCTCATTCAGACTTTGAGAGCCTTTTTGTGTGGGTTCCTATTCCTTTCCATAAAAACAACATTTAAAAATAAAACTTTATATAATCACAATGATAATGTTATTTTAATAAATAATCTGATTCATACAATAGATGATGATCGAATATAGCATAAATGACATGGAAAAACAAGCAATGAAAACAACAAAATCTCCAAGTACAACTACATGCCGTGTGTAAGAATCGTCTCTGGCATTACATTACTCTAATGTATATATCATCTTAAAATAGCACTGCAAAGGCCAAAAACAATAGCAAGCTAGTAACTCCAGTCCACACTATCCTGTCAGCAGCTCCATCGCTTCCAGCTTGCCCTGTAACATTTAGGATTGTTATAGAAATTCAAAAAACATAGCAAAACATTAAATGCTAAATTATGTGCTGCTCAATTCAAAGACTTGGATGAAAGAAAATCAAGACTTTGGGTTCTTAATTTGTTCAATGTCATCCAAAATTGAATCCCAGATGGCATCAATTCCTCGCCAATGAATTAAAGGGTAACTTGACTTTCCATCCCTATAACCAAGCCTAAGTATAAATATTGGCGGTGAGCAGACTAACAAAGGTTGGTTTGCGCATGAAGGACAAATGGAAGGGACTAAGGAAATGTCCAAGAAAGAGAAAATATCTGCTGAGTGGACCATCCTATCATAGCCTAAACGATGCATATAAATAAAACTGGAAAAAATCATGTTCTATTCTAGCCTAACTTTGAAATTGGACCAAGTTCTATCTAACCATTGAAGGGATGACGACCTCTAGAAATTAGGCGGATTATTTTCAACTTAAGAATTGAAGATGCAGAGTTTTCTTCTCTTTCTCCACCACATGAATAAGTCAAGGATTTTCATAACTTCTACCTTAAAAAGTGTAATTAATACATTAATTAATCATTAAGTCATATGAAAAAATTTTTAAATTAAAATTTCCTATTTAAATTAGAAAAGCCTAATTAAAACACTCTTAAAGCACTTAGCATTAATACCATATGTATTAATTTAAGAAAATTTTTAATATGTGCCCTTAGAGCACTTAATAAGTATAAATTAAATTCATTAATGGTACTATTTGTCATTAAATTTATACAGAACTTCATACAATATTTAAATAAAATATAAAATAAAAATGCCCTTATCAATTAGTGATTATCTCGTCTTTATAAAAAACTTCTCATACTAAAATTTAAAAATATGAGATTTAAATTTCACTCTTAATGTTTAAAATATATACATATGATATAAAAAATAAAATAAAATATTTTTACTCAAAATTTTAAAAATATAAATTTAATATACAAAATTAATTAAAAATACTTTAATTAATGAGTTAAATCCACCTTAATTTAATTAATTATTAAAATTAAAAGTAAATTTTATTTTTTATATAGTTTAATGACTAATAAATATATTAAATATATTCTTAATGTCTATCATAGAAACACCTGTTAGGAAAAACCATAAGTCAGAAACCAATCAGGTAGAGACAAACAGAATTGTCTATTTTCTGCCAAGAAGTGTGAAAACAAACCCTATTTTTCCTAGAATTTTCAAAGGACTGAAAGCATCGAAGAGCTGGCAGGCCCGACATAGCTTTCTTCTTTATGATTAAAAAGACTTAATTATGGTCTATCAGGTACCATCAAGATAAGAAAATACTCTGGCAAATCCATCATTTCACGTGTTTTAACATCGATCATAGCTGCCCCCACTAAAGATTTTCTCCAAAATCAATAACGAAACGAGGAAAAAGAGGAAATCCATGGGTAAAGGATTACAACTACACATATACATGCAGCAGAAGAAATAATGGAATGAATAGCAAGGAGAGAGAATCGTTACCAGGAGGTGGCGGCACAGAACCAGTTGGAGACAGAGCGTCTGTAACAGGGAAATTTCAGCAGATGAGTATTATTACAACTTTACAATCCAAACTAATCGAAAGTCAGTATAAACGACAATTAATCACATATTGGGAAATTGAAATCTGATGTACTACTGACCATGAATTGAAACCCTAAAGTGTAGTTAAGAAAAAACAAACGAATTCCTCAATTTACTAGATATTCAACTTTCTTGATTCTCCCCAGTCCCTTTCAGGTTTAAAAACCCTAGCGCAAAAATGAAATTAATCGATCTAACACCGAAAAACAGGCATGGATAACATGAACGGTTGAAAGTGGAGATAACTAGGTACATACTGGCGCAGCCGCTGAGACTGTTATTGACGCCGCAGTTGCGGCTTAGCTGGAGAGCGGCGGGGAGGGAGATGTTGAAGAGCTTAAGCACCTCAGGATCGTTGTAGAGGTTACAGAGACAGGTAAGCTGGTTCGCCACGGCATCTTTGATGGCATTGCAGCAGTCGGTTCCCGGTGTGGTGTTGGTGTTAAGGTAACTAGCACAGGGAGTCAGACTTGAGGCGCATGACGGTATGTTCTGCGCCTCCGTTAGGCTCATCGTGGCGGCCAGAACCAAAATCACAGCAGCGATTGTGAGTTTAGCCATCGCGTTAATTTAGTTTTGGACTCTCTTTCTCGATCGGGGTTCAACTCCAACCAGAGCCGCCTTCACCTTCCTGTGTGAGGTTGCTTCCTGCCTAATATATAGATAAAAGCCAACATTAATTTGGACAGGCCGCGTGTTTGGGTAAAGAAATACCATATGACGGCGTGAGAATCATTGACACCGCCCGAGCCAGCTGTTGAAAACTTGAAATTCACTAGGCCATGAATTTGTCAATGTTGAAATATTCAATTAAAGAAAAGAAAGAAAATAAAGATACTGTCTTTTCATAAAAATAGTTTTTAATATAAATTATATTTTATACTATAGTGTTCGGATGTTAAAATTATTAATATTTTAATAATTTTTTATAGTTAATTAAAAAATATGATTTACATTTAAAAAATATTTTTTTAATATAATATAAATACCTAAACTTTTAACCCTATAATTTAACAGATAACTTTAAACTGCTCCATTATTTTTTTTTAACAAAAAAATAATAATTAAAAATTAATATCTGTTCAATAAATAAAAAGACTCAAATTTAAATGAACTCTACTCAGTTCTTCGTGAAGGAGTACAGCTCAACCAATGGCCACATGAATGAGTTCTAAACTGCTCCATCATAAGTACAAAAGAAAGGAAAGAAAGAAAGAAAAACGGTTTCGACATAAGCCGATGAAGCTTTAGCTTGTGGTTATGGTGAAAGCAATGTCATCCTTAAGTTTTACAGTTGGCTCCTGTTTGTGTTGGACAAAGTATATTTGTGTTGACATGAGAAATTACCTATCTTCTAAAAGCAAATTGAGATGCAGTCACGAAAGAACAATCTGGTTGCTGTAATTTTTTTATTTTTTTTTTGAAAATAGGTAATGGGTTGCTGTAATTGATGCAAATTCAGACAAGAAAAGTCCTTAATAGCCGCATGAAATTGGAACAACCCCCCTTGAGCTAGTGGCATAAATTATGACTAGGGCCATTTACTTTCTACTGGTGACTTATTTGAATCACATGGAATTTTTTTTAATTAATATATATAAATAATTTTAATTTATTTAAAAATAAAAAATAATGACATGAAATTGAAAAAGAAAATAGTTATTGGGATTTGTGAAGCATGTTATGTTCACATGCGTGTGAGACCCACACATATATGTCTTAAGTGCAACATTATGACCGGGTTAATTCAAAAAATCATCTATTAACTTTCAGTTTAATTTCAATTTTATTTATTATTTTTGAATTGTTTTAATTTTATTTATTATCTTTCACATTTATTTCAATTTCATCTATGCAGTTAAAGTTAACAGAAATCCTAACGAAAATCTTCTTAAACCTTAGTACTCTAACTATGCTTCTTTTAATTTTTTAGTCCTTAAATTTATATTCACAATAAAAATAGTTTTTATTCTTATTTTGCTAAATGTGTTTTTCAAAAAATTGTTTTACAGAGCATATTGCTTTCCGCCCACCTTGTAAAATTATTTAAATACCCTTAATTCTATTTTTATATTATTTTTGTATGAACACTTAAATAATTTTATAAGACAGATTGTATACAGTCTGTCCTATAAAATATACTTACTTTTAAAATTTCTTATTCTGAACTTATTGAATTTCTCTGTCTGAATTACAATCTATCTCTATAAACTATTTTTTGATTCATCATATTTTATTAAGATTTAAGTGTCACTTTTTTAAAATTTAAAAGACTGCTCTTTCTTCAAATCTAACGGCAATCTAACGTACAAAAGACTAATTTGAAATATTTTTCAAAGTTTCTAGATCATTTAGAAATGAAACAAACTTTGTAGACTAAATTAAAATTAAACTAAAAATTAATAGATGATTTTTTAAATTAAACCCATTATGGCCTATCATGATAAACCAATTTATTTTGCTTGATGCATATATTTTTTAATTATTGGGTATGTTATCCAAAAGAAAAAAAGGACAGAGTGTTGTTCACTTCCCTCACGCAGAGTGCGCGAGAAAGAGTAATTTCCCCAACGACCATCTTTAGTTAATTTAATGCATGGAACAAGAAAAGGCTTTATTTAATGCGGTACTTAAGGAATTTATTAACATGGACAAAAGAATAACGTCAAGTGATCAGACTTTTTCGATCATGTTGATTGGATGGTTAGATTAATTAGTAGATAGGGACATGAAAAATGATTAATTAATGTATAATTTTTATTGTATAAATAT